GGATTACAGGCACGCGCCACCATGCCCAGCTAATTTTTTTGTATTTTTAGTAGAGACGGGGTTTCACCATGTTGACCAGGATGGTCTCGATCTCTTGACCTCGTGATCCACCCGCCTCGGCCTCCCAAAGTGCTGGGATTACAAGCTTGAGCCACCGCGCCTGGCCAGAAGTTAACTGGTTCTTATCCAGTCTGCTATAATATGTTGGTCTGGTTAAAGTATATGAAGAACATCTTTCCTCTCAGAGAAAATTACGTTGGAAAAGGGAGGAGTATTTTAAGACCTTTCAAAGAATTTATAGATATTCTTCTTTGTGGGATATAAAATCTTATCAGTGAACTTTTCTAAAAAGGTCTGGCCTCAGCCAGGTGCAGTAGCTCACACCTGTAATCTCAGCACTTTGGGAGGTCAAGGCGGATGGATTACTTAAGCCCAGGAGTTTGGGACCAGCCTGGGCAACATAATGAGACCCGTCTCCTGAAATAAAAAATTAGGGGGACGTAGTGGCACGAGCCTGTAGTCTAGTTACTTGGGAGGCCAAGGTGGGAGGATCACTTGGGCTTGGGAGGTTGAGGCTCATCGTGCCATTGTACTCCAGTCTGGGTGAGGGGAGTAAGACCCCCCCCAAAAAAAAGTCAGGGTTTGAGTGAAATCATTTACCCAGGAATGATTTCATATCATGCATCTTTTGGAAATATGGTTCACTGAGTCCTATATTAGGCACAGTTCTCCAGAGGAGAAACAGAACCAATAGGATACATGTAGACATCTAAGAGGAAATTTATTATGGATATTGGCTTACATTGTTACCGGGGTCGGCGGGGCAAGTCCGGTTGGGGTCCACAGTCTTTAGTTCTTGTTGGAAGAAACAATTCAGCCAAGAGAGAGAAGTAGATTCAAGGCAGAAGTGAAGGTTTTTTTGAAGTAAAGTTTACTTGGAAGGGGCCAACTGGGCAACTTCAAATATTGAATGCCCCTATTTCCTGATTGTTCCTGGTCTCCTCTCATCCTCCTTGGGTGGGTTGCTGGCTAATTGCCACATGTGCGGTGACTTGCCAGCATCTGAAGGGGCCACAGTGCCATTTTGTAGTTGGAGTTCTATGCATGCTCTCATAGGGCAATTTTCCCTTACTGCTCTAGTGTTCCCAGAGGAAGGTCATATACCGGTCACACTCCACCATTTTGCTCCTTACTACACATTCCTGGACATGTTTGCTCAGTTCCTAGGATCTTATCAGGAAGTTGTTCTCCATAAGCTTAAGATGTTTCCTGTTAGGAAATTTTCCCCTCCCTGGTGCCAGCTGCAACCAGTTATCATTCCTGAAGAGGCCACCAGGACATTGCTTGGGGCCTGTGCTGCCCTGCTCACACCTGCCTCTCTACCTACTCTAACAATGTGATTATGGAGGCCAGTAAGTCCCAGACATGCCATCTGCAAGCTGGAGAACCAGAAAAGCCTGTGATGTCATTCAGTCTGAGTCTGAAGGCCTGAGAGCCAGGACAGCCCATGGTGGAACCCAGTCCAAGGCTCTAAAGGCTCGAGAACAGTGCAGGGTTGGGAGACAGGCAGCACTGGTGTAAGTCCCAGAATCAGGGACTCCAGTATCTGAGGGCAAGAGGAGATGGGTGTCCCAGCTCAAGAAAAGAGGGACTGGAGGATGCCCATCCACATGGGTGAAGATGGATCCTCTTTATTCAGTCTGCTGATTGAAATGCTCATGTTCTCCAGAAACCCCCTCATTGAGAAACCCAAAAATAATGCTTTACCAGCTGTTTGGGCATCTCTTAACCTAATTTGGTTGATGCATACAATTAACCAACACAGCCACCTTCAGATTTAATAAGTTCCTAGAAGGACTCAGAACTCAATGAAAGCTGTTGTGTTCATAGTTATGGTTTACAACAGGAAAAGGATAGAGATTAAAATCAGCCAAGGGAAGAAACACAATAGGACAAAGTCCAGGAAGTTCCAAGCACAGAGCTTCCAGCGGTCCTCTCCCAGTGGAGTCATCAACAGTGCTAAATTCTCCCAGCAACAATGTGTGACAATAGACAGATTATTGCCAAACAGGGTATCTCAACTAGGCTCTGGTGTCCAAAGGTTTTATTGGGGCTCTGCCATGTGGACATGGTCAGCTGCCCACATAGCTGACCTTAGCTTCCAGCACCTCCAGGTTGGCCTGACACTGCATGACCCAAAGCCCCCACCATAAATCACATTCTTACCTGGTGTGGCTCAAGGTTCCCATGTAAACAGACACTTTCTTTTGCGGGGGTGGGGAGGAGGGGGCGGAACGACAGCGTCTTGCTCTGTTGCCCAGGCTGGATTGCAGTGCCACATCTTGGCTCACTGCAGCCTCAACCTGGATTCAAGCAGTTCTTCTCTGTGGGCCTTCTGAGTAGCTGGGACTACAGGTGTATGCCACCACACCTAGCCAATTTTTGTATTTTTTGTAGAGATGGGGTTTCACCATGTTTTCCAGGCTGATCTTAAACTCCTGGGTTCAACCGATCCTCCCACCTTGGCCTCCCAAAGTATTAGGATTACAGGTGTGAGCCACTGTGCCCTGCCCAAAGATACTTTATCAGTCAAGACATTCCAAGGGTTTAGAATTACCTCTCAGGAGCCAAGGCCAAAAACTAGACCTCCCTTTGGGCAAGGTTAAATTATTCACTACACAGTATGTTTCTCATGTCATCACAAAGAATATTTTTTAAAGTGTACTCAAGGGTCATGATTTAATAAAACCAGTCTTTTTATTTATTTATTTTTTTACTTCACCAAAGACATTCTTACGTAAAGCTGGGTTTTGTTTGTTCTGCCTGAGTGCAGGTAGTGCTTGGCGAGTGTGTGGTGAGGCGGTGTGTGCTAATACATTTCCACGCCACTGCCTTCATTACGCTAGCTGTCAGCAGGTTACCCACTATTGCTTTTATGACCTCAGTGTCAAACTAGTCAAAAAGGCAAATAACATCTTAATTTTTACTTTTCATGATTATGAGAATAGTTTCGGCCATGGGTATGCCCTCAAATCTCTGCGTAACTACGCACCCTGTATCTTTACCTTGCTTTATGAGTCTCATCTAGAGGACCCGGACTGCACATTTTTTGAGGATAGGTTTCGTCTTCATCTTTGTAGTCTCCATTTTACCCGGCACAGTGATTCATATGCAACAGAAATTCAACCAACGCCTGTTAAAGTATAGAACTTTTTCATCACTTCAGGAAGTCTTTCTGTAACTTGATTTGGCTTTAAAAAAAAATGCAAATAAAAGGTGACTTTTTCTTCCCATTTGTGATAGGTTTTTTTCTTTTGTCATATAGAAGGGTTGTCAGATCTGCTGATTCCCAACAAACTTGAGAATCAGTTTTGATTATGTCTCCCGTGCGACAGTGGAGTCCTTCACCGAGGTTGCCCCTGTGATCCTAATGACTTCTGTCATGGTGCAGATACTCCTCCTCCAGACTAGGGTGACAGACTCCGTCCTCTCTCCACATACGGTTTCACTCTCCTCACATCTGTCCCCTAGTAACCACCAAGATGATCCCTTTGAAATGCAGATGGACTGGGCCCAGTGGCTCACACCTATAATCCCACCACTTTGGGAGGCTGAAGTGGGGGGCGTCATTTGAGGTCAGGAGTTCAAAACCAGCCTGGCCACCATGATGAAACCCGTCTCCACCAAAAACATAGAAATTAGCTTGGTGTGGTGGTGGATGCCTGATTCCAGTTACTCAGGAGGCTGAGGTAGAATCACTTGAGCTTAGGCAGAGGTTACAGTGAGCAGAGATTGTGCCACTGCACTCCAGCCTGGGCGACAGAGCAAGACTCCATCTCCAAAAAAAAAAAAAAAGGCAGATAATATGCCAGGTACTCTTCACATATTTAATCCTCATCAACCTTATGAGAGAGGTGCTGTTTGTGATCCTCACTTTACGGATGAGAAGCCTAAGGCCCTGGGTGACCTAGCAGGACTGGCTCTGGGGTCCCAAATGTCTGCTCTTAACAATGCTAAATGCTTCTCACTGGTTAGTGTCATACCTGTTGCTATTGTCTACAGCCAAAGATAAGCTCCCAAACATGACATCTGAGCCCTTCTATGCTCTGACCTGTGCATTCTTTCAGGGCTTCACCGTGTCCTGCTGTTTGGTGCTGCTATGAGCTCTAGGGTTAAATCTGCTCCTAGTGTCCCTGTGCACCTTGCTGTTTATAGCCTCTGCCCTGTGGCTGCTCCTGTTCCTGCTGGTAGGCCTGCTAGACCTGTCTGTTCCCCATCCCCTGGCAGAGTCTTAGGGGGAGAGAGCTCAGGTGGTGGCTCCTCAAGGAAGTTTTCCTCCACCTTTCTCCCCTTCTGCAATGAAATAAAGAGCTCATAATGAATGGGGCAGACAAATGAAGGCAGATAACTGTATAACAGCTGGGTTAACAATTATAGTGCTAAAGTTAAGGAAGGTGAAAACTTTGCCCTAGTAGTTTGTCCTGTATCCTAAACTAGACTATCCATTTCTTTAAGGGAACAGACTCACTTTATACTGTCAGTATCTGGTAGATAAGCAAAAAGTGAAATAAGTAAACACAGATTTTTCCTAAACTATATTTCCTATTTCTTCCAAATCCACAAAATTATGAAAAAAAATTTTGAGACAGGGTCTCACTCTGTCACCCAGGCTGCAACCTCTGCCTCTTAGGCTCAGGCGATCTTCCCACCTCAGCCTCCCGAGTAGCTGGGATTACAATGTGTGCCACCATGCCCGGCTAATTTTTGTATTTTTTTGTAGTCAGGGATTTTGCCATGTCACCCAGGCTGGTCTTAAACTCCTGGACTCAAGGGATCTGCCCACCTTGGCCTCCCAAAGTGTTGGGATTACAGGTGTAAACCACAGCACCAGGTCTAAAGTTATGAAATCTTACAGACTTTCAGAAAATTGTATTAATACCAATGTCTGGGATTTTATATTTTTAAATAATGAGTTTTCCTTCTCTCTTTTCTTTTGTAAGCTCCTTGCCCGACTTGAAGGTAGAAGTTCTTTGAAAGAAATAGAACCAAGTCTGTTTGCTGATGAAGATTCTCCTGTGCATGGTAAAACCACAACCTCAAATACAAATACAGTGTTGTAAACAAAGCTTTAGAAAAGGATTTTTTTCACATAAGCTCACATGTATACACATACTCCTCGCAAGAAGTTATATCGGTTAAACCGTAAGTGGAAAAATGAGACCGAGGTTGTGACAGAAAGCTCTTCAGCCTTCCTTATCAGTGTCAGGCAAGATGAAGTTTGCTCATCTGCAGTCAGTCTTCAGAATATGCCTTGACCTCTGTCTTACCCAACATGCAATACTCATGCAAGTCTTGCTATTATAATTTGTTTTGAAGTTCTTTTTTAGAAGTTTGTAGCGTTGTAGGGAAGTCCTTAGGTATCTACTTGTTCTCTTAGTATTTCTACAACAGGGAAAACTTACAAAGGGCATGTGCTTAAGTTGATTTTTTTGTTTCTTTTAATGTAGTGGCTTCATAGAGATAAAATTCACCCACTTAAGTTTGCAGTTAAGTGATTTTTAATACATTACACAGTTGTGCAACCGTTACCACAACTGACTGCAGAACATTGTGTCTCCCCATAAAGAAGCTCATTTCTAGTCATTGTCATCTCCCATGTTCCCCGGCCATAGGCAACTACTAACCTACTTTCTAACTCTAGATTTGCCTTTTCTGGACATTTCATATCGTTGGAATCATGCAATATGTGGTCTTCTGTGACTGGCCTCTTTGAATAATCTTCATTGAATTGTATAATTCAGTTTTCATCACATCATAGCATGTATCAGTTCATTTTTTTTGTTGTTAAATATTTCATTGCATGGGTGTACATGTTACTTATCCATTTGTTAGCTGAGGACATTGGGTTATTTGTTGGCAGCTATCGGTAATGCTGCTTTGGTTATCTGTGTACATATTTTTCTGTGGATAGATGTTTTCAGTTCTGTTGGGTAATACCTAGGATAGGCATTGCTAGGTTGTATGGCAATCCTATATCTAACCTTTTCAGAAACTGCCAGACCATTTTCTGGCCGGGCGTGGTAGCTCACGCCTGTAATCCCGACACTTTGGGAGGCCGAGGCGGGCGGACCATGATGTCGGGGGTTCAAGGCCAACCTGGCCAATATGGTGTTACCCCGTATTTTTGGTGTTACCAAAAATACCAAAAAAAAAAAAAAAATTAGCCACGTGTGGTGGCCGATGCCTGTAGTCCCAGCTACTCAGGAGCCTGAGGCATGAGAATCGCTTGAACCTGGGAGGTGGAGGTTGCAGTGAGCCGAGATTATGCAGCTGCACTCTGGCCAGGGTGACAGAGCAAGACTCCATCTCAAAAAAAAAAAAAAAAAAAAAAGGGAGAGAGAGAGAAACTGCCAGACTGTTTTCCAAAGTAGCTTCACATTTTACTTGCCACCAGCAATGCAATGATGGTTCCAATTCCCATATTCTAGGAATAATTTTTATTGTCTGTCTGTTTGATAATAGCCATCCTAGTCAGTATGAAGTATTATCTCTTTGTGGTTTTTGATTTATGTTTTCCTCACAGCCAGTGATGTAGAGTATCTTTGCAAAGGCTTATTGGCAAATTTTATGTCTTTGGGAAAATATCAGATTCTTTGCTCATTTAAAAAATCAGGTTTTTGTCCTTTTATTATTGAGTTGCAAGAGTCCTTTGTATAATCCAGATGTAAGTCCCTTATCAAATAAGTTATTTTGCAAATATGGTCATCCATCCTTTAGGTTGTTTTTTCATTGTCTTGATGGTATCCATCGAAAGTATGCAGGGTATTAATTTTGGTGAAATCTAGTTTACCTGTTTTTTTCTTTGTGGCTCATGCTTTACAAGCCACGGCCTATTCCAGGTTAAGAAGATTTATAGCTTTTTGTTGTTGTTACTGGTTTCTGTTTTCAGTGCTTTCTGATTGGATAACGTGCTTCTGTGATTTCAGTCTTTCAAAATTTATTGAGACTTGTTTTATGGCTTAACATATGGTTTATTCTAGAGGATGTTCCATGTGTATTTGAGAATATCGTGTATGCTCCATTGGTTGAGATGCCTGTTAGTTCAAGTTGGCTTTTGATATTCAAGTCCTTGTTGATCTTTTTCGTAGTTCTATACATTTGAAAGTAAGGTTTTTGAAGTTTCCAACTGTTAATTAGCTGGGTATGGTGGTACACACCTGTAATCCCAGCTACTTGAGAGGCTGAGGCAGGAGAATTGCTTGAACCCTGGAGGCAGAGGTTGCAGTTTGCAGTGAGCCAACTCCATCTCAAAAATAAATAAAAATTTTATTTTATTTATTTTTATTTTTTATTTTTGTCTTTTTTTTTTTTTTTTCTTTTTCCTTTTTGTGGAGAACGGGGTCTCGCTATATTGCCCAGGCAGGTCTCGAACTCCTGGGCTCAAGCTATCCTCCCGCCTCTGCCTCCCTAAGAGCTGGGATTACAGGCGTGAGCCACAGCGCCCGGCAACAAAAATTTTTAAATGAAGTTTCCAACTATTATTGTTGAATTGTTTGTTTCTCTCCTGAGTTTTGTCATGTTTTTGCTTTTGTATTTTGGGGTTTTGTGCATTGTTGAGCACATGTAACTTTTTATTTTGTCTTATTGCTGATTGACCCATGTATAAACTGTTCTTTGTCACTTCACATCCATTAGGAAGGCTACTATCAATAAAAAGGAAGTAGCAAGTGTTAGCAGGAATGTGGAGAAATTGTAACTCTTTTGCACTGTTGGTAAGATTGTGAAGTGGTGTGACCATTACGGAAAACAGTATGGAGGTTACTCAGACAATTAAAAATAGAACCACCATATGATCCCATAATCTCACTTCTGGGTATACATCCAAAAGAATTGAAAGCAGGATCTTGGAGAGATACTTGCACACTCTTGTTTATAGCAGCATTATTCACAATAGCTAAGAGGTAAAACCAACCTAAGTGTCCATCATGTGCTTATAACAGAATCCCTTGGGGAAGAACATCCATCAGTGGTTGAGTGGTTGATATATACAAAATGTGATATATACATGCAATGGATATATTATTCAGCCTTACAAAGGAGGGACATGCTGTCACGTGCTACAATATGGATGAACCTTGAGGACACTGTGCTAAGTGAAACAGGCCAGAAACAAAAAGACAAACTGCTTGATTCCACTTATATGGAGTTTCTAAGGTAATTAAATTCATAAAAAGAAAGTAAAATGGTAGTTACCAGGAGCTGAGGAGGTGGGAAAGGGAGTCGTTTAATGGGTACAAAATGTGAGTTTTGCAAGATGGAAAAGTTGCAGAGTTCTGCTTCACAGCAGTGTGAATGTACTTCACACTACTGAGCTGTACACTTAAAAATGGTTAAAGTAGGCGCCAGGCCCTGTGGCTTATGCCTGTAATCCCAGCACTTTGGGAGGCCGAGGTGGGCAGGTCAATCACCCTGAGGTCTGGAATTTGAGACCAGCCTGGCCAACATGGTGAAACCCCATCTCTACTAAAAACACAAAAATTAGCCAAGTGTGGTGGGATGTGCCTATAATCCCAGGTACTCAGGAGGCTGAGGCAGGAGAATTGCTTGAACCCAGGATATTGCAGTGAGCTGAGATCGTGCCACTGCACCCCAGCCTGAGCAACAGAGCAAGACTCTGTCTCAAAAAAAAAAAAAATCATTAAAGTAGCAAGTTTTGTGTCATGTGTTTTTACCACACACACAAAGTCCTCTGTCTCTAATAACATGTTTGTCTTAAACATCTATTTTGTCTGATACTAGTGTAGCCAATTCAGGTCTCTTTTGATTACTGTTTGTATTGTGTATATGTTTTTTTATCTTTTTGCTTTCAACCTATTTGTGACTTGTAAAGTGTGTTCATTATAAACAGCCTATAGTTCGAGTCTGATTTTTGTATTCCATTCTGCCAGTTTTACCTTTTGGACTATTTAGTCCATTTATAATTAGTGTAATTACTGATAAGAGTTTATGACTGCCAGGCATGGTGGCTCACGCCTGTAATCCCAGCACTTTGGGAGGCCGAGGAGGGTGGATCACCTGAGGTCGGGAGTTTGCCTGGCCAATATGGTGAAACCCCGTCTCTACTAAAAATGGAAAGATTAGCTGTGTGTGGTGGCACATACCTGTAATCCCAGCTACTGGGAGGCCCTTGCAGTGAGCCAGAATCACACCGCTTCACTCCAGCCTGGGTGACAGCAGGACTCCATCTCAAAAAGAAAAAAACAACAATGAAAAACGAGAAGAGTTTGTGACTATCATTTTGCTGTCTCTTTTTTATATATGTCTTATGTCTTTCTGTTTCTCTTTCTCCTTTGCTGTTTTCTTTTGTGTTAAATCATTATTTTCTGCTGTACCATTTTAATCCCCTTGTCATTATTTTCACTGTATTTTTCTGAATTATTTTTCTAGTAATTGCCCTGGGATTACAACTAACATCTTAATTTCTAACAATCTAGTTTGGATTAATACAAACTTAATTTCATTACTTTGTAAAAAGCTTTGTTACTATAGAGCTATTCCCTGCATCTTTATACATTGTATGCTCATCAACACATTCAATATTGTTACTGAATTAAAGTAATTAAAATGATCACTTAAGAATACTTTCTGGCCAGGCACAGTGGCTCACACCTGTAATCCCTGCACTTTGGAAGGCTGAGGCTTGTAGATCACCTGATGTCAGAAGTTCAAGACCCGCCTGGCCAACATGGTGAAACTTCGTGTCTACAAAAATTAGCCTGGCATGATGGTGGGTGCCTGTAATCCCAGCTACTCAGGAGGCTGAGACAGGAGAATTGCTTGAACCCTGAAGACAGAGGTTGCAGTGAGCCGAGATTGTACCATCCATTGCACTCCAGCCTGGACAATAGAGCAAGAATCAGTCTCCAAAAAAGAAAAAAAAAAAGCTTCCTTCAGTTACAAATATAGAAACACATTTATACTGTCTTTTATAGTTACTTAGTTATATTTACCTGTACTCTTTATTTTCTCATTTGGACTTCAGGTACTGTCTAGTGTCCTTTCATTCAGCCCAAAGGACTCCT